GACTAGATTTTTTGAAATAATGGATGTATTTGCATTAGGGCTCTAGGTGTTAGAAAAAACATAATTCATTTAACTGTTTAACAGTACGTCATCCATTAGTTGAAAAAGAGAAGGTCCAAACAGTGACCTGACAGTTCAATTGGTTTGAATAGGAATTCCCTGCCTTGATTTCCAATCTCTATAAAAGATTAAGCTTTCAACCTGCTAAAGTTGCCACTGTACGCATCAATTATCAATCACTTCAGGCATGGTGGTGTGGGTTTATACTGTTGAACATGAACATCGATTATTATGTCATTTAGGTGTCAGAGCTACTTTCTTCTATGTATGTTGATCATAAGATTCTTTAAGGTGCTTTCAACATAATTGAAAATAAACTGGTCTCTTTTTTCCCACAATTTTCACTTGCCTTACTTCATTCATGCCTAATGTCATTAGCAGAACCTAGTCATGAGGATTTTGATTTTTGATTTTGATTTTAAGAATTTTCCAGGCTGATCAGCAAATGGAGGAAAATTTACTTGCTGGAAGGGGAATTATGTTTGAACATGTTTTGGAAGCTGTGCCTTACGAGGGAAGTGGAGATAAAATTAAATTACCGCCACCCTGCTTCACGGCATTATCTGAACAAGGTGCTTTTGACAAAGGACCCCTGCACTTCCGGTTATTGGTAATTGATCAAGAGACTACTTCAGATGTCAAGAATGATGATGGACAAAATCATGGGACAACACATGCTGGTGTCCTGGAATTCACTGCAGAGGAAGGTTCAGTTGGGCTTCCACCCCATATATGGAGTAACTTATTCCCTTCTAGTGCTCCAATGACTTCATTGATTGAAGTTCGTTATGTTTGGCTTCCAAAAGGAACTTACGCCAAACTTAAACCAAATGAATTGGGCTTTTCAGACATACCCAATCACAAGGCTGTCCTTGAAACATGCCTTCGCCAGCATGCAACTCTTTCACAAGGTGATGTGCTTGAAGTCAACCATGTACTATTCTAAGTGGTTATACATGTTCTTGAATTAAAGGCCTAAAACCTCCAAAGAAGAAATCCAGAAAATTTATACCAAGGAACAGCTAAAAGAATCATTAGGAGACCAGCTGGTTAAGAAAGAAGAAAGAGAAACAGGCGATGCCGGTTTCAAGCCTTACATACAGTATCTGAATAAGAGCAATGGCTTCTTGTACCTCTCTCTGGCTGTTATCGTTCACATTATCTACATAATTGGGCAATTTGTACAGAGTCTCTGGTTGGCTGCCGACGTACAAGACTATAGTGTCAGCAGATTGGAATTGATCTTAGTTTACACTTTGATTGGGTGTGGAATGTCGATCTTCTTGATCGTTAGATCTTATTTTGTAGTTGTTTTAGGCCTTAAAACTTCAAAATCTATTTTTTCCAAGTTAATGACATCTCTTTTCCGAGCTCCAATGTCCTTCTACGATTCAACGCCATTGGGAAGAATTCTCAGCCGGGTAAGAATCTCTACTGTGTAAAACAATGTATTTTATGCTTTGACAAATTTATGAGATTTTGCCTCAAATTTTTATTTTTGGGGGTATAGGTATCGTCTGATCTGAATATGGTGGACCTTGAATTGGCATTCAAGTTCAGTGTGAGCATAGGGGCAACGATGAACACATATTTTAGCTTCTGCGTTTTGGCTATCATCACCTGGCCAATCTTGATTGTCATCATACCCATGGTTTATGTTACCATACTCCTACAGGTAATATATTCTGTTTTTTTATTTTTTTTGCACGAATTTAAAATGAGAGGGATGAGAAAATTTAGAGATACAGAAAAAGTGCACATAACACAAGGGTGGTGTGCGCGCAAACCACCATACTATTTATACGTTTTTTTAATCTTTTCATACAGAGATTCTACTTTGTTTCTGCAAAGGAGTTGATGCGAATCGTTGGCACAACTAAGTCTTCACTTGCAAGCCATCTTGGTGAATCCATTGCTGGAGTAGTGACTGTTAGAGCTTTTGGAGAGGAAGATCGATTCTTTTCAGAGAACTTGCGCCTTATTGATGCAAACGCGAGTGCATTCTTCCACAATTTTTCAGCAAACGAGTGGTTGATCCAACGCCTAGAAATCCTGTGTTCAATTGTCCTCTCCTGCTCTGCGCTTGCATTGACTTTGTTCCCACTCGAAGCTTCTAAATCAGGTTTGTAATCATTATCACTAATACACTATCACTTGTCCAATTTTTTCTCTCATAATTTCATATGACAGCACAAAAATTGTGCTGCCTAATATCAAACATTTCATCTAAATGATAGTGATCAATTGTATGATCATCCAATGAGCGTTTTTTTTGTCATCCAGGATATATTGGAATGGCTCTATCATATGGTCTTTCGCTGAACTTGTTCGTAGTTGCTTCTGTCCAAAGCCAGTGCATGATATCGAATTTGATTATTTCTGTAGAAAGGCTAGAACAGTACTTGCATATTCCTAGCGAAGCCCCTGAAATAATAGAAAGCAATCGACCTGCATTGACCTGGCCAGAAGTTGGTAAAGTGGAGATCTGTAATTTGAAGGTAAAAAAAAATTGGCAATATGGTAATCGATTTCATTGCTTTCTTTGTTTTACAATCTGAAACTTCATTAAATGATATTGAGCAGGTTAGGTATCGGCCTAATGCTCCTCTGGTGCTTCGAGGGGTCAGTTGCGTGTTCGAAGGAGGGCACAAAATTGGGATTGTTGGAAGAACCGGTAGTGGGAAGACGACTCTGATCAGTGCCTTGTTTCGCTTGGTGGAGCCTACGGAGGGAATGATCATTATTGATGATCTAGATATAAGTACGATCGGGCTTCATGACCTTAGATCACACTTTGGGGTCATTCCACAAGATCCAACTCTCTTTTGTGGTTCTGTGAGATTCAATCTAGACCCGTTATCAGAACACACTGATCAGGAAATATGGGAGGTAAGGTTTCTAGATCTAACTTGAGCTAAAAGACCAAATTTTGATTGTTCTACTAAAAAAAAAAAAAAAAAAAAGACATAAAACTACTATTTTAAGTGGTTATACATGTTCTTGAATTGTTATACTAATTAGCTGTGGATCAGAAATACTAATCACTAATTGCTATGCATAGCCTTCAAGGTGGAAGATAGTGGTAGTCTTTTGTTTTAAATTTTATTTTCTGATTTGAAGATAAGTTGTATCAAATCAAATTTCACTTTTTTTTAGGCATTAAACTTTAACTTCCATACATTCTTTTCATGATTTCAAGCATCTGTCTAACATATATAGACAAAAGAGGAAATAGTAAAGCATTCGTTATTTTCATTTTTGTTTTTTTTAACAAAACCAGTCTTCAATAATTCAAAACAACTTTTTGGTATTTCCAAAGGGTTGTTTTCAGAAAACATTTCTGAATTCAGTTTCTGGAAACAGTTTTCCAAACAAAATTACTGATTCTATTGTAAACCATGTTTTGGAAGGTTCTTGAAAAATGTCAGCTTCGAGAGGCAGTTCAAGAGAAACCAGAGGGCTTGAACTCTTTAGGTAAAATTGAAGAGTTTGTAGGCATACAAATTGACCTTTCTTCTAAAAGTTGTTAACTAACAACATATTTTGCAGTTGTGCAAGACGGATCAAATTGGAGCATGGGACAGCGACAGTTATTTTGTTTGGGACGAGCGTTACTGAAGAGAAGGAAGATACTGGTTCTTGATGAAGCCACTGCATCAATCGACAATGCAACCGACTCCATCATACAGAAAACCATTCGGACAGAATTTGCAGACTGCACTGTCATCACAGTAGCCCACAGAATTCCAACTGTGATGGACTGCACAATGGTGCTTGCTGTTAAAGACGGTGAGTCCTTGTAGAATTGCATATAAAATGAATGAAAACACAATAAAAAAACAAGATCTCGGAATTTCTATTACTCGTAACTCAAAATGAATTTGACTGAAACTCTAAGTCGAGTAGTCAAATATTTTTTGAAAACAGTAAATTTTCACTCAAAATGTGTTTGGGGTTTTCAACCTGATCTGACAATCTTGAAAAATCTCTCAAATTACCGTTTGGCCAATAAACGGTCAAATTACTATATGAACTTGCAATCTAACTGCAATGCATCATATATCCTTGTGTGCACAATTCTTTGAAATAAACACTACATCTGTTGTGCGCCAGATATGTATCACAATTTGAGTAACGTTTTTGAATTTCAATTACTACACCTATTAGAACTTAATTTTTTTTAGAATTATTTGTTGGAGATGTTCTGAGAAATTAAAATTCAAGACCCGAAAACTTACAAAACTGTGTAATATTGGCACTTCCACAGTACCTAGTAAGTAGTAACTTATGATTCATGAAATGAGGTGAGTAACCATTAAGTTGCCAACTGTTCCAAAAATTTAAGCAGTTGGGAAATGAATTCAGCTAACAAGGACAGTGTGAAGTCATGACGAGCATTTTTTATATTTTAGAGTCACAACAGAGTAAATAGTTCAAAACAAACACTTCAAATATGATCATATTTTGAATTGCGATAGGAGCATCTTTAATGTTATTAAATGTCAAATTTAGAATGTTATTACTAAATTTGGGCTATACTACAGTACATAAATGCTACAATTTTGTAACCTTGCGCTATTGCTTGCATAATTTTTTAGCATAATCATCATCTCACCTTTTCAAATATGGTTGGATCTCTATAAATTACATTTACTTGTTGATAGCAATGCCAAAATTTGATAATTTATTAAAATTTGTATTAAATTTGAAACAATATAAAAATTTGGCACTACTTCAATGACAATTCCATTGGAGCGCCCAACATTTCAAAATTTTTTTCCCATCAAATTTGTTCAACAATTTAGATAAAAGCTTGATTTGGTAGAACTTATCCCAATTTTTCATCAAATTATCCAAAAAAACCTCCTCTAACCAATTCAAGTGAAAAAAATACTGATGTTCAATATTTCATCTTTCATAAGTAGAGAGAGTACGCAATTGGAGCAGTTGAGAGCTTTTCTCTCTAAACTTTCTCTTCTTAGGCTTTCAAGAGTGCAGCGGCCATCAGGGTGGGAGAGGGGCTTGCGGCGGCCTCTAGCCTCCCGTCTTTTCCTCCTACCCCCCTTTTCTTCTTCCCTTTCCTTGCTTTGGTCTAGGGGTTGGCGCGGGTCGGTTGCGGCCATGGAACCTCCAATCCGCCATCCGTTCGCCAGATTGGCGGATTGGAGAAAATCAATCTACATCTGTTCGCCAATCCGGCGGATGTGGATTGAGCGGATTGGCTGTTTGGCGGATGGATGCGAATCAGTTTGGCGGTTTAAAATTTTATAAATTTTTAACATAATTCAACTTGTGCACTTCCTCAAAAAAAAAAAATATTACAATCACTGCATGCCTCATCCAAAGTAAGAAAGTTTGAAACTTTAGAATATTACAATCATTGCATGCCTCATGCACATACTACAATCATAGCATAACTCATCCACATAAAGTATTACAATTTGTGGTTTTTAAAATATAAAAACAATTCAAACCACCAAAACCATGAACAGAGTAGTAGTGGAGATTGTATGTCTTTGTATTGTCACATTTATATTTGTTTTTGAAATCAAAAACCAACCAGCATATATCATATTTTCTATTTATTATTTTTAGAAATAGATTTAAAAACTAAAAAATATAGATAAATAATACGTTTATTTTTTTCAATTGAAAAAAGATATTCAGGTTGAAAATTTTTTTTCAACAGAATATTTAAACTCTTTTTTAATTGAAAACACAAACAGAATATTTAAACAAACTGAAAACACAAAGGCTCATAAATTACTGGGGGTGCTCGCGGTTTGGTGGTTCGATTGCGGCCAAAGGAATCTCAAATTCGCCATCCGTCCGCCAGATTGGCGGATTGGAGAAAATCAATTCGCAATCGTCCGCTCGTTATCGCGCATCCGTCCAAAATGCGGCGGATCGGTTCAGTTCGGTCGGTTTTGGTTGATCGGTATATCTGTTGCTCACCCATACTTTGGTCCAATAACTTAGAAATTTTGGATTTCCATTTTTTCTGTCATCGGTGAAGTGTTTGTTTCCCTTTGCCTCAACTTTGGCCATGGCTTTCGTCAAATCCGCCCTCCCCCTTCCGTCACGCCTCCACCTGGCATTGTCCATCATCGCTAGATTTGTCGCCCTTCATCATCTTATCTGCCGCCTTCTCTTGGCCTACTGGACGCCGCCTTCCTTCCCCTGCTCTGCCACCTTATTCCCTGCCAAATTTGCTTGTTGTTGCTAAAGTTTTGGTTTTGTGGGTTTGTTTGCCTTTGTTTTCCTAGCTTGCCTTGCTTTAGGTTTGCCTTGCTGTTTTGTTGCTTTATTTTATGGTTTGTTTGTAGATTTACTTTTCTGTTTTCTGGTTGCCTATATTTTGTAGGTTTTCGTATTGTTTTGTTTGTTGGTGAGTCCATTCGGTGGTGATGCTAAACTTACCCTCTATCTGGTGGGGGTCTATAAATTCTTCCAAACATGCTCTATTGTTGAACTTTTATGATCAGCTCTATTTCGCAATACGAGCACGAGTACGAAATGTGCTTATGAATATTTTTATAGGTTTTTTCGTTTGTGTTTCTTGATGTATTTTTTTTTTTTTGGTTTGGTGTAAATTTTGGGTTGGATAGATTCTTGTGAGTACCGTTTAGCTTTCCTTAAGAATTTTCTTCAGATCAAAATATATATATATATATATATATTTCATCTTTCATTAGTTTTATCAAATTTAAGGGAAAAGAAAAAAAAAAGATTGTTGACCATTTCATGAAAGATTTACTTTCATTTCTAGTCTAATCACTACAAGAAATGTCAATTTAGGCGACCAAAATATTGGTCGCCAAAAGTCCAATATTTAGTCGCCGAAACCATTTGGCGACTAAATATTTTGTCGCCAAACTCGTCGCCTATACCCTGTCGGCGATAGTAGTGGTGACTAAACTTTGTTTGGTCGCCGAAAGTGACTACATTTCGCTACTAAATTATGTTTAGTCGGCAAATGTTATGTTTCCGCCACTAAAACTTTAGTCGCCGAATGAGGCTTTTTGGCTACTAAGTTGTTGTGGTCGGGGAAGGTGTCACATTTAGCTACTAAATAATTAGTCACTGAAAGTACGCATTTGGTTACGAAACATTATTTAGTCGGCAAAAGGTGCATTCCGTGACTAAAAATTTAGGGGGGATTTGGTGATAGCCTCTTTACTATCTAATATGTCTTTCAAAAGGACAAGAATTATATAAGTACTTTCAAAACCCCCTAATATTTTAAAACTTGTTTCTTTTACTATATTACCTTCATATCTATCAGCTCTCCTATTAAGACATT